AACAAACTTGGTAGCACTTGATCCCAGCATGCTACAGGCCTAATATCAGTACCCTGGGCCTTTTGGTTATTGAGAAGAAGTTGTTTGAAGATTTTAACATATTCAACCCCTGTGACCTTGAAAGTTGGTCAAGGTCATTTATTTGAACAAACTTGGTAGCCCTTCATCCCAGCATGCTACAGGCCCAAAATCAGTACACTGGGCCTTTTGGTTATTGAGAAGAAGTTGTTTGAAGATTTTAAAGTCATCTGACACCAGTGACCTTGAAAGTTGGTCAAGGTCATTCATTTGAACAAACTTGGTAGCCCTTCATCCCAGCATGCTACAGGCTCAATATCAGTACCCTGGACCTTTTGGTTATTGAGAAGAAGTTGTTTGAAGATTTTAACATATTTGACCCCTGTGACCTTGAAACTGGGTCAAGGTCATTTATTTGAACACACTTGGTAGCACTTGATCCCAGCATGCTACTGGCCAAATATCATCTTCCTAGGCCTTTTGGTTACAGAAAAGAAGTTGTTTAAAGCAAAAAGTTGACGCCGGACAGACGGACGACGGACGCCGCACCATAACATAAGCTCACTTGCCCTTCGGGCAGGTGAGCTAATAATGCAAACCATTTACAACTATCACAAACAGTTTTCAAGGAAATTTTATAGCTTTGACAGAAACTGATGTTCCAATTATATAGGAAAACACTACAGTAATGATACAAGGCATAACCTACCTCAAACACTGTGTACTGATCTGCTTATGTAAACTTTTTATATCATCTCATCTACAAACTCAAATTCTGGTACAAAAAAATAGTTGTTATGCAAAAAGCAATGTTTGCACAATCATATTTCTGTATATTTTTATGATAAAAAGGTGTATGCAGCTATTCTAATATTCAAACAATACAGCCTTTCACTGCTTTTATAAAGCTTCCTTGAATCAGATCTACCCCTCTTATCCACAGTCAAATATTTCTCACAGTGTCATAAAATACATTACAGTCAGACAAAACAGCAAAATTATTCCATGAATAATATAAAAACGTAATATATATGTCGGTCAATGATACTGTGGTGAAAATGTTAGAAATCCTTGGTCTGTGCAGCCGTTGATATACACATTGTCAGACACATTAGAAATCCTACATCTGATGTCAGTCACGTTAGAAATCCTACATCTGATGTCAGACACGTTAGAAATCCTACATCTGATGTCAAACATGCAAGAAATCCTACATCTGATGTCAGACACGTTAGAAATCCTACATCTGATGTCAAACATGTAAGAAATCCTACATCTGATGTCAGACATGTTAGAAATCCTCGGTTTGTGCAGCCAATGTTATATATGTCTGGGTTGTTAGAAATCCTACATCTGATTTCAGACACGTTTGAAATTCTCAGTCTTGACAGCCATCATTATTGATGTCTGGGATGTCGGAGGTGCTCAAACTTCTGCCTGATGTCTAAGATGTTTGAAATTGTCCATCTTAATAACAGCCTATATTATATAGACTCTTTCATCTTGAAACATCAATGAATAAAAAATGTTTCAATTTCAATTGACATGATCCTTGTCTCAATGACAGGAACCTTTGGTTTTCCTCTGGTAAAAAGAGAGATTGTCTCCCCTGTTGAAGGTTTGGTTATATCATTAACAGTCATATTTCTCCCATAAGGAAAGTTTGGTTTTATCATTAACAGACAGATTGTCTCCCCTGCTGAAGGTTTGGTTATATCATTAACAGACAGATTGTCTCCCCTGATGAAGGTTTGGTTATATCATTAACAGACAGAGTGTCTCCCCTGCTGAAGGTTTGGTTTTATCATTAACAGACAGATTGTCTCCCATGAAGAAAGTTTGGTTATATCATTAACAGACAGATTGTCTCCCCTGCTGAAGGTTTGGTTATATCATTAACAGACAGATTGTCTCCCCTGCTGAAGGTTTGGTTATAGCATTAACAGACAGATTGTCTTCCCTGCTGAAGGTTTGGTTATATCATTAACGGAAGAGTGATCTCCCTTCATAAATTATTCAATGCCAGAAGAATTTTATCCTGAAATGTCTATCTGATGACAGTCATACTGTATCACACAATATCAATGATGAACACCCCAGGTATCACATAGGCAGTAGTATAATGTCTTGTTGACCACTGGTCACCCTAATGATGAGGAGTGGACAAAGCCTCCACAATCCAGGGGTCACACTTTGACCCTTCCCTAAACTCGTCCTTCGTGAGGCGACCATCATGATTCTGCAAACAGAAACACAGGTTTTACCATACATTTTATTGGCAACAAATATGTTTTGAAAACTATACAATTTAGAAACAGTGAAACTTGTCCAAATACCTAGTTCCTGCATGCATGTACTCAATAATAACAAGAGGCCCATGGGCCTTAACGGTTACCTGATGTATTTATACAGAGAGTTGATTTGTTTTTAACATGAACAGAAATATTATTCAGCGACAAAAAACAATAAAACCACCTTATTCAATATCTAGCATACAGATTTAAGACTAAAAAGTATTTGAAACTAGCACGTCTGATTTTAAACAAGGAAAATGAAGAAATTTTAGCACACTGACTCCTTTGGGCCCCACCCTACAGCCCTTGGGGGTAGGGCTGGCACAAAGTATCAAACTGTCAACTCAGGGTTATAATTCCAATCAAGTTATTAACATGTAATATTCAAAGTATCATTTGCCATTATAAACCATAATAAATTTTGCCCCCCCCC